TCAGCTTTCATCTGCCGATTCGTGAAATTTTTGATTATTTTCAACGTTTCAACTATTTTTGCACAGATCAAAGTACAAAGCAGTGAAAATCATTAACAGGCAATCATTCGGTGGACGGAATTGCAAAAAACGCATAATCGCACCAGCTATTCTGGGGTGCATTGCTACTTATTTAATTTGACGGCTGCCTTAAAATGTTGCACATTGGGAATCGGACAAAATGGACTTTTGCATTCGCATATAATTTTCATCCTGTATTTTTTTTTTCACGTCAGGTTGGTTCCTTTTCGTTTCACAGGTCAGATTTTTTGTGAACTGCTTCTCAATGGACTGTACCCGCCGATTACTACCGTAATGTTGAAAGCAGTGGCATACAGTTGTGAAATTTGGTCGGCTGAAAGCGAGGACTAATATTGATTGTGGCGGAATGGTGATGATAGAGCGGAAAATTCCTAGCCCATGTCCGAGATCGTATAGAAATTGAACTTCTTAGATAAGCAGTATGCAAGATAACATAGTGGTTCAAAAAAGTAAATCCGAGAATGGTACACGTGCTAGCTGTAGGGAGTATTGGTAGATGATGGTATTCTTCGAAACAGAATCACTTGGACGAACGTAAATGTGTGTTTGTTAGGAGTTGATGTCTAGCTAAAGAAATGATCTTAGGATGGGAGAAATTGGCACAGCTTCGCTTGGTGAATGGTTCTTCCTAATTAGATCGAGGACTTTACGCGGGTACTTCCGGCAGTCCCGCTTTTTTGGTTTGATAAAACTTACTAGTGCTTGCTTGTATAAGTGATGTTCCGGGGTTTACTATTATTCAGATTATTTTCGTGGGAAGTCTATCTTGTACAGTGGTTAAGACCTATGCTGTTCTGGGACTTGAAGTGCATATTTCTAAATTTGTACATATTGCCTGTTGCGGTAGTTTTCAGGCGAAGTCTGTGCGCAGCAGCGGAGCGTGGTGAAAATGAGGATGTAGGGTATGAGGTGTTGGAGAGTGCCGAACAGGATGAGGCCGTTTTGAAGCATCAACTGGTTTCATTTGCATGTAATGTTTCAGCATTTTGATAAAGGGGGCCGTACAGTTATGCGCCCCATTTGTGTGTGTGTTCTATTTTCGAGCTTCTCAGTTTTTCGTAATCTACGTTTTGAATGCTCTGAGTCTTAATATGCAAGGGAG